GGTGGAACCTCAGAGAAGCCGAGGGCACCAAAGAGCGAAAATCAGAAGGAAAACGAGGCACCGACCCTTTCTGTAGTTGCTGTGACAACAGGGGACACCTTCAGAGGCATTTGATTTTAGAAGCTTCATTCCAGTTTCCTCAGTTATTATTCTTTATTTTTCGTGATTAGAGTAGAAGGACGTTGGCAACTCCACCTCCACCCAGGTTAGCTAACTTCCTCTGTTACTTTATTGGCTTCTCTGTTTGCTTGGTCCTCTGCAGACATTGCTGACATATTTCCGTGTTGCTCTAAGGACATTTTAATGCTGTTGAATTTAATCCTGAACATTTGGCTCTGAACCATGATTCTGAAGTCATGAGACTAACACAAACCATTCCCCTTCCTTGTGACTTTTCAGGAATTCCCAAAATGAGATTATAGCGTCTCACAGTTCATTAGAACTACTGTACTTAACTCACAGGATCTCTGCTGCAGGTACTGTTCGTCCTGGAGGCTGTACTTGCTGGATGTTAGCTGAGACCACCCAAAGGGGATGCTGATCTGGTCCCAACCTCAGATGCATCAGCCCTTTCAGCCCACTGCAGCACAGGGGGTCTCCTTACCATCCCCACCTCCTGTTCTCTTTATTCGCTTCTCTCTAAAAGGCAGAGAAGTTCCCCCTTTTTTGAAGGTCTGGTCTTTTGTGTGTGTGAAAGTGAGGCCACCACAGCAGAGCTGGAGCAACGTTTGTTTTAGATTTTTCATTATTTATAGATATGTGTGGATTGAAACATTACAATTGTTCCCATTTCACCAAATTCTAAGGGAGTAGTCTGCTGATATCCGGCAAAAGAAGTTATATTCCTCGTACCTCTAAAGAGAAATATTCATTGATAACTATATTTTCCTTAGGTTAAAGATACTCCTAAAAATGGTTACAAAAATTTTTTTTAGTATCATATCTGTTCAAATACTCTTTAAAACCCCAATATTTAGAGAAATTCACTGTTAATCATCTTTCTAAGGTGAATAATCACTTGTAATTTGTACATTTGGCTTAAAATGGAGTATACTTTGTTGAGTTTGAACTTGAGCAATAAGTCTTTTTTCCTCCAATTTCGCCAACCAGAGAAGCCCCTCTTCCTCCATAGAGATAAGCAAATAACGTGGAAATAGGGACTTTCCTTCAGTACTTCTGAGATAGAAGTTTCCACTTTGTAGGCAGAGGCAGGAATGTTTAGGAAGAAGGGAATTTTAGTTTGCTTCTCTATATATTTATATTGATTTTCTTGGCCCAAATGGTTGCTCTATTTAAAAGCTGTATCAGACAAATATCGAGCAATCTTAACGTTTCCCTTTCAGAAGAGGATCTTTATGCCTTTCATCATCCTAATTCTAATTTCATCCATTTCTTCAGCCTTCCTTCCTCTCGGCACATTTTTTGTTGTATCCAAGTTTATTTCCTAAGTTCCAAGTTACTTGTTTGGGAGAAAGAGACTTTTGATGCTTACTCCCATCTCAGTCCCCTCTTTTTCCAGACACAGGAGGATAACATTTCCTGACCTTCTGATGAGGCCATGTGACTTAGCTCTGGCCATTATACTCCAATAAAGATGTTAAAAAAGAAAAAAAGTTAGCTCAAAAATCTCCAAAAAATAAAATAAAATAAAATAGATACAGAGGCCTGAGAGGAGCAAGGGCTATAAGAGAGCCCTCATAGGGCGAGTTTGTGACAAAATGTTGAGATGATTTACAAATGGGGACAATATATACCTTGGGAGCAGCTGTCGTATGTCGGTTAGATATATATTTAGAGAGAGAGACAGATGGGAAAGAGGGTTTTCAGTTTTGGAATCTTCCTTTGCTGCGTTCTCAAAAGAAGGCAGTAAAGATATTAATTGCTGATCTATGATTATTGGACAAACAAGAACCATCTGATGTTTCTTTGAATGCAACCCTACACATAAGTGGGTCAAAGGGCTGGGCTGTACCCCCATCACTGAGAGATCTTCAGGGAGCAGTTGTTTTGCTGGCTCCAGCTCCCTCTGCCCCGGAAGCTTAGTGGGAGTCTAGGACTTGGTATCTGAGGGGCAGACTCTAAACCACATTTAGATTTGCCCCTTTTTTCTGACACTGATTGCCATCATAGGATCTTACTATATGTCTCCAGTCTTTTTTCCCTGAAAATCAGTTTTCCAAGGAGCCTTTTCCTTACTATTAAATAGATCTCTGTTTCTAGACCTCCCTATTAAATAGACTCTGAGGTCCCATCCAGAGGCTCCCAGAACCCACCAGAAACAGCCAAGTCAACCTAAATCCTCAGAACAGCTCAGGCTCAAGCTGAGATGACAGAACGCCTTTCCTTTATATTTTAAGATGATTTTGTGCATTAAGGACAAGACTCTTAAAGGGTGTCATTTTATTTTTTAATTTTTGGGGTCAAATGTGCATAGCACATGGTATTAATGATAGTGATAATAACACTAATAATAATATCAAGAGCCCAAAATTAACACCCTGTGTCACCTACCCTATGCCGGGAACTACATGTGAATCATCACACTCAGTCTCCACGGAAGCCCTGAGGTAAGCCCTGCATTTATCGTCATTTCACAGCTGAAGAAAATGAGGCTGAGACAGATTCAGTTCTCCACAGCCACCCAGCTGGGGAGCAGCAGAAGGGAAACCTGAATCCAGGCCCATCTATGCTGTGCTGTCCAGATTAAGAATTACTGGGCTTCCCTGGTGGCGCAGTGGTTGAGAGTCCGCCTGCCGATGCAGGGGACGCAGGGTTCGTGCCCCGGTCCGGGAAGATCCCACATGCCGCAGAGCGGCTGGGCCCCGTGAGCCATGGCTGCTGAGCCTGTGCGTCCGCAACAGGAGAGGCCACAACAGTGAGAGGCCTGCGTACCGCAAAAAAAAAAAAAAAAAAAAATTACTAATCATTCCATCCCCCAAAGAGAAAGCTGGCTGGAGCACCCCCCAAATCTGTACCTTTGCAAATGTGTTCAGCATCCATGAGAAATCAGGGCTGTGTTTCTGGGTGGCACGATTAGAAGGTGATCAACCCTTTGCTCAAGGGCCCTAACCCATGTGATAGGACTTCCACTTTCCTCTCAAGTGGTTCTGTACTTGAACAACTGCACTCAGACCCCAACCAGTGTCCGGATTCCTTCTCCACCCCACACCTGGGGGCAAGGTTCTCCCGCACCCGCAGCTCCTCAGCAGGGTGCCCTAAAACTAGCAAAGAGCTTCAAAACATTAGAAATAGAAGTTCATAAATATAACTTCAATTTCTTTGCACCATGATGCCAAAGTGTTTATTGTTCTGCTATTGGAACTCAGAGTATCTTTTTCCTATGAAAAACAACTTGAAGTACAGTGATTAGGTTCCCAGCGCAGACCACATAAATCTAACAGAGCCACAATGTTGTTAAAACAATGTTCGTTTACCATAAAGAGTTCAGGACAAATAACTATCACAATACTAATATTTTTTTTAAAAAGAATAGAAACAAGATATAAGAAAGTTTGTATTTAGTAAAATGTGTAGACTTGGGGAAAAGCACGTTTAGAGAAAAAAAGATTTACGATGGAAGATCTTGGAGATTCTAAAAGAGACTCTGGGTGCGTCAGAGGCCGACAACACAGGTTCTTGTAATATCCAATTATATGTACATATTTTTAAGAGTTTTATTTCTTTTTTTTTTTCTTTTTTTTGGCCACACCACGTGGCTTTCGGGATCTTAGTTCCCCAACTAGGGATCGAACCCGGGCCCTCAGCATTGAAAAGGGCGAGTCCCAACCACTGAACCACCAGGGAATTCCCTCTAATCATATTTTAAAGGGAAAAAAATTCTTCCTTTTCTCTGATACAGATTTGTCACCAGCTCTGACTCTTATCAATGATACGATTGATGATCTTATCAATGCACCGTGTGACACACGAATGAAGTGAAAAGAGACAGGAGAGTTTTTCTGGAGGGATCTGAGTCAAAAAAAAAATAGAAGAGAAAAAAGACAGTGGAAGGGGATAGAGAGGTGAGTAGAGCTGCTTTTGATGAGCAATTATCTGAGCTCTGAGTGTACCTGTGTGAGCAGCACCCCTGGAAGGGAAGACAGAGCGTGACAGGTGAAGGGCTAGAGCTGGCAGTCCCTGCCCGGCACCCTGTGACCCCATCAGCTCCATACAGTGTGACTGCCAACTGGAGAAAAAGGATAAGTGTGTTTCTTCTGGGGAGAGTAGAAAAGAAGGGGAGCACAGTTAGAACTCCCTAGTGTCTGGAAGACAGTTCCCTTTAAGAAAAAGAAAGCAAGCCTTGATTTGTGTGTTCCTGCCAGTTGCCATGGTGTAAATACTCCCACCACGGGTAATTTCAAGCTGCAGATGGTTTAACAACTGGCTCACAAAATTCCTGAATATTTAACCACCAGCTTCAACCAGCTGGTGCGAGGCAGCTGCGACACGCACTCCGGGCCACGCGACTAACCATCTATATGTCCAGATGGCGGCCAGTCTACCCAGCACGCGCTGTTCTGTTCTGTGCTTGTGATGTTTTAATTATTTTGAAGGTTACTCATTAAAAACTGGCAGAATAGGGGCTTCCCTGGTGGCGCAGTGGTTGAGAGTCCGCCTGCCGATGCAGGGGACATGGGTTCGTGCCCCGGTCCGGGAAGATCCCACATGCCGCGGAGCGGCTGGGCCCGTGAGCCATGGCCGCTGAGCCTGCGCGTCCGGAGCCTGTGCTCTGCAACGGGAGAGGCCACGACAGTGAGAGGCCCGCGTACCGCAAAAAAAAAAAAAAAAAAAAAACATCCTTGCCTAAAAGCCACCAGAAAGCAGGGGGCAGAAAACTGTTTGATCAGTCTAAATTTAAATTTAAAAATCATCACATAGCTGAATTCTTGGGACTATATTAAATTTTCTGATGACTCTGTCCTCTTTGAGTTTTTAGAGTGAAAGAAAAAATCACCCGTGAGTTTTCTGGAACAATTAAAAAACCTTAAAAACCAAGGGCATGTTCTTAGCAAAAATTTAATGCATTTCCAAAGTGGATAAGAAATGGAAGAGAACATACCTATTCATCTCTTACTTTGTATGGTTCAGCTAATCACACTATCGGAAGCAGGGCTTCTCAGACTCAAAGTGCTGTAGAAAGTGCAAAGGTTTCTTCACACACACAGAGGCCAGCCCTGTGGAGTGGAGTGCCAGGAACACCCAGGGAGAGAGCAGCCTGTACTCCCAAAAGGAACAGGAGAAAGGAGTGGGGGGCATCACCTTCCAGCACGTCCCTGCCTGTGTCCTGCCTACACAGTCACCATGATCTGATCCAGAGGTTTCCGTGTGAGGTCAGGCACCGTGGCCTCTTCGCTGGGGTACCCCACAGGGAGCAGTATTAGCAGCTTTTCATTTGCAGGGCGGTTCAGGAGCACCCTCAGACGGGGGCCACAGTTGAGAGGAGTGGTCGTGACAGTCACCAGTCCCGCGTTCTGTAACAGGAGAGGAAAAGAAAACATTTTAAAGTCAGCAGGCAAAATCCCAGCCTGGGCATGTTCTAGTCCCTATAAGATTTGCTTGTCCCATCATTTCCCTGAAGTTGGGTGGCAAAGAAACGACCAGCTTGGGCCATGGTGTCTTGAATCTTACCTGCCCTCCTCGACCTCCTCAGACCCCACCTTCTCTTAACCAAACAGTGGGAAGCTTCTCAGAGAAGAAAATACCAGTCATTTTTCACTGATGCTTAAGAAATGGGAATGGTTATTTCATGGAAAGAAATTTGGGGAATCCAACTACACCAAAGGAACGGAAAAACAAAAGGCAGTTCCTGTGGTTATATAACCAACAGTGGAAGCAGAGCGTCATCCCTAGCTGAAAATACCTATGTCCAGTGAGGGAGGACCTAGTGGCCAAGAGGTATGTAAGAGGTAGAGGAAATACTCCACCAACCTCTTCCCAGCCCCCTCGAATAATAAACATCCAATAAAAATCACATGTAAACTTCAAGACACTTTCCCAGTTGGCCCTCTCCATCCCTCCATGCTTTTCCCGTCAGATGCTCATTGCTAAGCCTGGACCAGAAGGAGGTTCTGGAACTGCCTTTGGGAGTCGAGCACGCCTCCAGTCTCTGTGCAATCTGCCCAGACAAGGGCTTCCAGAAGATTCCTTCCTCCTTCACAAATCAAGACCTACACTCAGACTTATGCCTTACAGAAAGCTAGAGGGCAGCAAACTCCACAGTAAAGTGGGAAAAGTTGCTGATGGGAATGCACAGAAGGCACAGGTGAAGGGAACCCACGCCAAGCCTAAACTGCCTCTTCAGGAACCCTGACGGGGACGGTGCCTTGCGGTCTGACGTAGCACAGCAATTCCTTTATCTGTTACAGAGTTGGGAGGTAAATAGGATGCCAGCTCCTTTGGAACAGTTTTTCAAGTCATCTAAAAATATATTCCTCTTTTATGTCACAATGACTATTTTGCAAGTTTTCAGCAAACACATTTTTCTTTGAGATAACAAAGAAGCACATAGTTTGTTGGAATCTACTCTCCCTTGAAAGGAGGCTGATTCGCTCTTATAATCCTGTTTGTTTTATTTATTTCACGTGTTTACTGTCACTCTCCACCCTCTCCCAGGACTGCAGTCCCCACCAGAACGTACAGTTCACGAGGTGACTATTCCTGGTGACTCCTGAGATCTGCCACATAGAAGGAGCTCAGAAAATATCTGTTGAGCGAATGACTTGAATCATGTGAAGGCAGACCTCAATCCTGCTCTGTTTCACGCTTAGCAGGGCTGTAGCTACTATGTAGATGGAAAGTTTTTAAGCACATGGACATCTTTCTAATTCAATACGATGTAAACTCAACTTCTGAGGACAGGAGCTCTATGATAGAGTTCCCCTTATAGCTATTGAATCATCCCACTGGCTCAGACAACAGTAAACACAGCTGAGAAGCCAGGCCCTGGAACTTTCAGGCTCTGAAGCTCTTCATGTGTATTTACTAAAGCCCTTAAAGCTTCATGTGGTTACAGATGAAGGCAAACACAGCGACCGTTTTTTGACCCTTAAATAATGTTATAAGTAAATTTCCAGGAAGGATGCCAGCTTGTTAGAAACATCATCCTCACCAATCCAGGTTTCCAGAGGCAGTTTTCACAACAGAGTTCCCTTACTGAGGAATCCCTGTCCCTGAACTAGAAACTCAGCTGAAATTTGCAAATAAAACCACAGTTGGCCCCCAAGTATTAAGTCTCTCTCTTGGGCCCAGTGGGAGGGTGACATACCTGCAGGGCAGCTAGGAGGATGCCACACGCGATGGAAACACTGATCTCGTTATAGTAGTGGATCTTTTTCTTGCCATTTGCAGCAAAACCGTGTACTCGTTTGAAAATGAGAATCAAAACAGGCGCTGTGTCCAAGTACTCCTTAATCCAGTTGGTCCTAAAGGGAGAAAAAAAGATATTCAGAATATTTTCTCTTAATGGTTTTTTTGTTCCCTGTTTACCACCTTATATACATTAAAAATAGAAACATTTCCTTGTCTTTTATGTTTAAATTGAAAAAGAGTAGGATTTTTGTTCACATCATGTTTACCTTTTTCTATCCCAAGTCTATCTATCCCAACAGGTATTAATAAGGGCCTAATATAGCAAGACACGTGAAATGCTGAAAGATACAAAGATAGATCCTATAACCCAGAGGGCAGTAAGCCAAATTTAGCAAACTAAAACCTGGTAAGTGTTGTTAAAGAAATATAAGACAAGGGCCTTAGGAGCCCAAAAATAAAATGTTAGCTTTGAATAAGATTGTCAGAATATTTCCAAAGTTTCTCTTGAGGCGGGGCCCTGAAGACCAGCTAGAGAAGGGGCATTGGGAAGGGCAGCCCAGGGAAGAGATGAGCAAAGGGCAGAGTCAGAAGGAGAATGCTTGGCTGGACAGGGAATTTCAGAAGCCTGGTAGGCTGGACGATGGTGTGTGTGGTGGGGCACGGGTTGGGAGGCTCGCAGTTTTCATACAGATTTTGCAGGGTGCTGGACTTGGTTCAGCGGCTGATGGAAAGTTATCACAAACTTCTGAGCAGAAGCATCACGCAATAGGATCTGTTTCAGAAAGAGACGGATGGGTGTGGGCAAAGGACCAGCTCAAACGGGACCAGATAGGAGACAAGGGCAATGGCCCAGGAGAACTTGGGGAGTTGTAGAGGCAGGAGCTGACAGATCCGGCACAGGAGTGCACAAGGGAGAAGAAAAAGGTGATGGTGAGTTTGAACCAAAATTCCAGGTGGGCAGATGGTAACGTTCTTAGCCTAGCTATGGAGAAAAGGAAGGAAACTTTTGTGGGAGTGGGAGATAACTCACAGGAGGTATAAATGTTGAGTTTCCATTTTTATTTTCCAGATAAGAGCATATCTTTCTCTGTTTCATTACCCTGCCCGTACATGTTGGCAAACGCTTCACTCTAGCACAGATATTCAAAGGAAAGATACTCATACAATGCTATACATTGGAATTTTTCCTTAGGGTAAATTATGTCATCAATAAGCAAGAGATAGTCACCACTCATTTCATTCTTAGCTTAGTTACGCTTCCTTGTTTTAAAACACATTAAACCCACGTGTGTATTTTCTACAGTTCCTTGTACACTGCTAATTTCTATACATTACATTCTCAAAGCTACTTTACCATACTTCAACCAGCTTATTCACATGTGACTAGTATCAATTCTTTTTCTCTTTACAAAGTGGGAGAATGTTAATAGTTTACAAAAAACATCTGGAGTCAACTAGCTTTGCCACGTTGGGCAACCGCTCACCTTCTCACAGTTCAGTGCCCTAAATGTAAAATGTGCTATTGTACACTCACCTCCAATGGTTATTGCGACAGTAAAACCAGTCCAAATAGATCAGTGCTTAGAAGAGTACCTAGTACCATGTATGTGTTAGCTAATATTATTATTATTACTATGTATTATTTTACAGTGAATAATTGAAAACAATTGTTAAATATGAGGTAAAGAATAAGCAATTTACTAGGTCAGAGGCAGGTTAGCAATTTTTACTAATCTTTGTACTTATTTTGCCTAGGCATACATTGGTAGCTAGTATTTTGGGTTTGTTCAATTTTGCAAGAATGTATCGTGACATCATATTAGAGCTAATAAAAAGATAGCACCGTGCCGAGGCCTGTTAAGAAAGGACAATTAGCACCGTCCACCTGGGGTGAAGGGTCTCACGCCAGCAGCAGGAGAAGAAGGCTTGACGGGGAGGTTGGACCAGATTGTATATCAAGCCTTTAATGACAGCTATGAGTTTCAGAGTTGACTCAAACTGGCTATCAGGACATATGTTCATTTGTGATGCAATTTAACAGTTATTTAATTACCTACTATGCATCAGCACTGTGCTAGGTGCTACAATGTAAGACTTTTTTAAACTAGAGGTCTCTGGATCCTAGAGACACTATATATATATATATGTACTATACATATATGTGTGTATATATATATAGTATATATATGTATATATATATACATATATATATGTATATGTATATCTGTGTGTGTGTGTGTGTGTGTGTGCACGCATATTGTCTGCAGAGAAAGTCTATAATGTTAATTGGATTCTCAAGAGTATCTTGGTGTACCACAAGAGTTTCTAAAATATGGTCTATAAAATGAGAAGAAAAGTAGGCCAATAATTAAATAACTATGTGGTAATGGCTATTTTAAATGCACGGAAGGTGTGTATTAGGTGCTTTGAGCACAGAGACAAGAGAGCAACTGATGCTGCCTTCTTTGGGGAGTGACAGGGCTGGCAGCAGGCACACACAGAGCACAGCCTCTCTCTAAGAAGAGAGACTCAACTTTGCCCATCCGTTTTTTCTCATGAATATGCAATGAGATTTACATATTCATTATTAATATCCTACACTTATTCCACAACACAGCCATAAGTTACAACGCCAATAGACATCAATTTCAATAGGGTTTAAATATCTCAGGAAAAAAATTGTCCTCTGGGGCAAATAAATGAGACAGGAGTAGGACTAAGAGGCCATCCTTCTCACCACCCAGCCCTGGCTACCGGAGAAGAAGTCCCGCTTTACCCCACAAGACGGAGATCACACTGCATTTTCTTAGGCTTGTGTCACAGCGGGTATTGGATGGCTGGTGCTGGAACTGGCCGCTAAAGGCCCAGAGCTGAGAGCTAGAGGCACGAGTACCTCTACATGCTACGTGCCAAGAACTCAAGCTGGCTTCCCCTCAGGGCCTTCCGAGAGGTCAGGACAAATATCTGTGCCCCATCCCTCCTCATGCTCAGCCTGAGAAGGGGTTAGAAGGGAAAGGAGATGCCTCTGTGGGGAGGGCAGTATTTGTAAACAGGACCCTGTGACCAGCGTTTTAAAATGACAAGGCTGAGCCTGAAAAAATTGAAAGTGACTGTGTTAACTACAAAAATGACCGAGAAATTATGGAATCCATCCTAGATATTGTGTAGGGTGACTGGTCCTCCATGGGAAAAGTGGGATTAACAAACATAGTTAGTTGTAGTTTCCAGAAAAAAAATGAAACCTCGCACGTGTCTACCCGAATACGCTGAAATTTCACGGTAAAGCCAGTTACACTGAATTCCAATCCGCTTCTTCCCTGGAGATAAGGAAGCCTGCAAAATTACTAATGCCTAATGAATATTATACCTCTACTAAATTTGTACTTTTATTAAACATGTACTAAGATGAAAGCCTGCTGAGTGAGATCATGTACGAGACTATTTATAGGAAAATGTAATTTACGTCACTCAAGATCCTGAGAAGTATTTCACAATTTACTAATAATTATATGGGTCATAGCCTATTTATTTACCCGATTCATGTGGCCCTTACTATGTGCCATCACTGTTCTAAGTGCTTACAAATTCATCTAATTTTCATAATGCAGTAGATACTAGACTTATTCCCATTTTACGGATGAGGAAACTGAGGCACAGATAGGTTAATAAGCGGCAGACCTCATATTTGAACCCAAGCACTCTAGCTTCTCAGGCCCTACTCCTAGCCTCTATCTTATTTAATCCTGATACCAAATTTTTAACATGATCGTTTTGGGTGAGAAAACAGAAGTGTGGTGGTTGATTTTATGTGTCAACTTGACTGGGCCACAAGGCACCCAGATAGCTGGTTAAACATTATTCTGGGTGTGTCTGTGAGGATGTTTCTGGATGAGATTAACATGTGAATTGGCAGACTGAGTAAAGCAAATTGCCCTCCTCAACGTAGGTGGGCCTCATCTAAACCGTTGAAGCCCTGAATAGAACAAAACAGGTGGAATAAGGGAGAATTTTCTCCGTCTGCCTGACTGCCTTTAAGCTGCGACATCAGTCTTCTCCTGCCTTTGGACTCAGACTTGGACTGCAACTTACACATTGGTTTTCCTGGTTCCTAGGCCTTTGGACTCAGATTGGAACTATTCCATCGACTCCGCTGGGTCTTGGGACTTCTCAGCCTCCATAATCACTTGAGCCCATTACTTATAGTAAATCTCTTTCTCTCTCTGTTTCTCTCTATCTCTCTCTGTCTCTCTTTCTCTGTCTCTCTCTCTCCCCATTGATTCTGTTTCTCTGGAGAAACCAGACTAGTGCACTTAGAGGGAGTAAGCAAATGCCTAAGGTCTTGCAACTGGAAAACCAGAGCTAAGACGTGAACCCAGATGGGATTCCAGTCGGCATCCCTCACCCCTGCGCAATACGTATGCTCAAGGCAATTCAGCGGTGAGGCCTGAGTTAATTTCCATTATTTCTTCCACAGGTAAAATGAAACTTTTTAACACCTAAAACAAAACTAGAAAACTGAAGTCATAATTATTTCATTTTAGGAAGCCAAACCAAACAAGCCTAATTCTACCCACTTTTGTACCTCAGTTTCTTCAGGTCTGAAACCCATTGAGGTCCCATCCTCTTCAAGTAGTTTATTTCCTCTTCCTCCTCAACGATCTCCCGAATCTTATGCTTCACGTCTGGGTCCTTCACAACCACAAAGGTCCAGGGCTCTGTGTGGGCCCCACTTGGGGCTGTTCCTATCACCCATTAAATTAAAATCAGAAATTAAAACTGCAAGAAAAATCTGAGTCTGTTAATTAAGAATAAACGTAACTCATAGTTGCTCAAAATGAAGTTAGATCACCTGACACACAAAATGCCTGGCGGTAGCCTCTGGGATGTTGCTGCCAGGCCCGTTTTGTTCAGCATCTCTGTCAGGGTCTCCAAACCAACTAACCGAGATCAAAGCCAGTAGTTCCTAGGTTTGGGGAATTTATCACTGCTTCTCTGATCATGTGAGAGAAAACATCCCTAGGCACTACTCTGTGACCAATAAGGGAACACAGATGGGAAGCTCTGATAGCCAAAAGCCTCCAAAATGCTGTTTGTTTTGATATTCTTGAAAAATGACCAAGTCAGGAAGTTTATTGGAGATGGCAAAATTTAAATGGCAAATGGTTTCAAAAGGATCTCCAAAAGGCAATTGAACTATAAATTGTTTAGTGCCTATATCAAAGTTCTGAGTGTGGCACTGTGGGGTTTGTGGCCCTATAGTGAACACATGAGAACTCTTGGCCCTGGGCACTCAGACACACAGCAGAGTGTCTTCCAGCTCTTACAGGTTTTGGGAAACCTCAGCCCACCCTTGGATCAGTCCCAATATCCCAGACAAAGCTTCATAGTGCATCATGGGACCCAAGGAGCTTAAGTTCCCTTTAAGATTCCAGCCAGCAGCACTTCCCTGGTGGTCCCGTGGGTAAGACCCTGTGCTCCCAATGCACGGGGCCTGGGTTCAATCCCTAGTAGGGGAACTAGATCCGACATGCATGCTGCAACTAAGAGTTCGCATGCCACAACTAAAGATCCCACATGCCACAACTAAGACCTGGCACAGCCAAAATAAATAAATAAATATTTTTTTAAAAAAGATTCCAGCCATGGGCTGGCCCAGCTTCTGATCTGGGTGTCACCTCTCTGTCCTAGAAATGGACAGAAGTAGACCACAGTTTCTAGAAGTTTCTAGAAGTAGACCACGGTGACCCACTGGTGGTATATTTCAGAAGCAAGTATTTCTTTCTTCCTAGTGAGTAGTTCAATGGCATAAACTCTACAGGAGGGGTCTCAGGCCTGCCAGCCTTGATGAGTTTACCATCCACAAGTCCCCGTGGTAGAGAGGGCATGATTAAACTGTGAAATGCAAGTCAAATCTGAACATAAAGCCCAAATTTCTGAACAGAGGGATTCCAGTTCACTTTGTACACGTCGTCTGTTCACTAAATATTGGTGTCACCAAACACAAGAAATAAATTGCCCCTTAATGTTTTCAATTATGCCAAACCTCTCTGAATGTCATATGCACACACCCACATATTTAGATACAGATCTATACACAGAAGAAATTTAGTAACTGCTATTAGGTAGATAAAGGACTCACCAATCTAGTGTATTTGTGTTCTTAACTGAAGTGAACTGTTTTATTCTTACTTCCTTTTAATTTGGGCAATGGGTTTATAATAGTCATGCAATAATTTCTGCAAATGAACTTGAATGTGATTTATATAGGAATAAGAATCCAATCAGAGGAGACTCTCAAATAGGGGGCTTTCTCATATCTCCTCTCCCTTTTTCTATAATTCTCATCTATTCCTCTGGGAATAGATATTAATTTACATTGAAAATGCATTTGGGGGACTTCCCTGGTGATCCAGTGGTTAAGAATCCGCTTTCCAATGCAGGGGACGTGGGTTTGATCCCTGGTCAGGGAACTAAGATCCCATATGCTGTGGGGCAACTAAGCCCGTGTGCTGCAACTACTGAGCCCCAGTGCCACAACTGAGCCCACTCACGGCAACAAAATATCTTGCTCGCCGCAATGAAGATCCCGCGAGCCGCAACTAAGACCCGAAGCAGACAAATAAATAAATAAATAAAAAGCAAAAGAGGGGGAAAAATGTTTGCCTTGCTTTGATTTATTTTGTGAATTCACATGAATATATTTTGCTAGTTCATTAGAATACAGTACTAGAGCATCATGGTGTGTAATATAAGAAATTCGGTTCCCAAAAGAGAAATGTATAAATGTGTGTGTGTGTGTGTGTGTGTGTGTGTGTGTGTTTTAAGGTGAGGTGAAAGTAAGGATTTTTCTTTTCTGATGTATAATAATGTGTTCAGAAATTTTCATTCTTCAAAAATTTTATAATGTTGAATAATTTCAGAAGTTTTGAACTGTTGTCACATCTGCTCCCGAGAAGTTTGTAATAGTTAAAAGTTTGTAGAGGGCTTCCCTGGTGACACAGTAGTTGAGAGTCCACCTGCCGATGCAGGGGACACGGGTTCGTGCCCCGGTCCGGGAAGATCCCACATGCTGCAGAGCGGCTGGGCCCATGAGCCATGGCCGCTGAGCCTGCGCGTCCGGAGCCTGTGCTCCGCAACGGGAGAGGCCACAACAGTGAGAGGCCCGCGTACCGCAAAAAAAAAAAAAAAAGTTTGTAGAAAGTGGAAATCATCTTGTGCTTGGCAGTCAGTCAACACCTGGGTAAGACCTTACAGGTAAACGTATCATTCCAGGCTTTATTCACTGTGTTTGAACTTCAACATTGCTCCACTATTGTCACTTGTAGCGGACGTTCTCTAAGACCCACTGTGCACTTACAGACCTGCTGCTTTGATGACATTATCAATCACTTCCATTGGGACTTGCTCATTACTTATGAATCTAACAGACCGTCTCTTATTGAGAAGTTCATAAAATTCCCGGGATCTCGTAAGCATTTCCTTCTCAGGATACCGGGTGTGGGAGAATGGGATGTGTTCCACCTCTTCCTCTGACACTTGCCAGTCGTCAGCGTCTGCCAGTAAGAACAAGGAAGACAGCAAATTAGAGGATCTCTCTTGGTCATGAAGGGAGTGCAATATGCCCCTCCCCCAAAATATGTCTCTTTAGCATAAGAATTATTTTGAGTTAACTATTTTTAGGAAACGCAGACACAGGAGACGTTCTGAAAACCCAAATAGAAGTCATCCTATTGTAAGAGACATTTATAAAGGAAATCTCTATTTGGAAGTGTTTCCCTCTCTGTACCAGGAAGAGAAGGATGATTCTAAATCACAAGAAACTCTTGTCAACAGAGAAGGTGTGGACTTAAATCTCTGTAACAATCTTACCCTTGTTTGCTCTGCTTTTCCTGACAACCTCCCCTAACTGGGTCTCCCCAGTCCCCAATGCCTTTCTTCTGTCTTTATCTGAAGATGGATTAAGGTGGTGGCTAAGGCTGTCTGGGGGAGTTACTCAGTTTTCCTGGGTCTCTCCCATGTACACAAGAGATATACATGTTATTACACTTCTGTTTGTTTTTCTCTCGTTAATGTGTTTTTATTATGGGGGCGTGGTGGTCTCAGCCAGAGAAAATTATTTTTACTCCCTTATAGTCGTAAGGTGGTCACTGGGGAGAAGGAAATAAAGTTCTCAAAATATCTGTAAGGTTATGAGCTCAAAAACATCAAGCAAAAATGGGAAAAATAGGTCTACAGAATCCTGAAACTCTGATCTTGACTGTCCTTCAAAGCCCAGACTCATTATAAATCAAGAAAAAGAAAACTTTTACGCACATAAAGATGAAAAATGTAAATTTCTGTTAATGGTGAACTAACTTATTTGAAACAATCTCCGTTGGCTGAAAACCACTAAGATCTATTTTTTTTTTTTTTTTTTTGGCCAGATCTTAGTTCCCCGAACTCGTGCCCCCTGCAGTGGAAACATGGAGTCTTAACCAACTGGACCACCAGGGAAGTCCCCTGAAAACCACTAAGATCTTGAAATAAATAATTTTTTATAAAGCCGTTTTAAATTCTTTGAGTTACTGACAGCATAGTAAGAAATTCCCAGGCCAAAAGTGAAGGGAAAATATGATCCTGCAGAAGTAAATAAGCACAGACGCTGCATTTGCCCTGATAACATCTGCCAATCCCAATATATTTGAATTTTTATTTTTATATTTTCAGGGATCAAGCTGGACAGAAATCAAAGCCCAGGTCCATATACGATGGGAAGTCTAACAAGCTGGGACCCCAAGACTACATCCTTAGAAAAACTAAGAACCATAAATAAATCAGGGACTTTCCTGGTGGTCCAGTGGTTAAGACGGCACTTACATTGCAGGGGACACGGGTTCCATCCCTGGTCAGGGAACTAAGATCACTCATGCAGCATGGCACGGCCATAAATAAATAAATCAGCCCCCAAGAGTTTATAACATTTTGATGGGTCCTGCCTCAAACCTGAACTTGGAATAGTGTGGTCCTGCCTGAAAATACCCCCATTACCCAGCAGAAGCAAATGCCAATATATAAATAATTTTAAGTACAATTATCAGCAACACATAAAAGACAACCAGACATACGAAAAGAGTATCTTGATCAAGAAACAGCAGAATAGGTTTTTAAAAATAGAGACAGACACCAAATTCTCCAAATATTGGAATTATCAGACTCAAGAGATAAAACAACTATGATTACTAGGTTTAGAGGGGGGAGAAAAAAAGACAGGCATATATAAATCTGTAGGGTACAGGAAAAGATGAAAAGTGACATAGAAAATATTTTAAAATAGAACTTTTAGAACTGAAAAATAAAATAATAGAATTAAGAACTTGGTGGGTGGGTTTAATAGCAGGTTAGACATACCTAAAGGAAGAATTAATGAACTGAAGACAACTCAGAAGAAAATATCTAGAATAGAGCAAGGAAAGACCAAAAGACAGAAAATATAAAAGAACGATCAAGAAAAAATAAAGCAGAGCGAGAATGTTCTAATATACGTGATGATAGTGACAGCAGGAGATGGGAAAGAGGATGTGGCAGAGACCATATTTGAAAGAGAATATCTGATATGAAAACCTGATGAAAAATGCCAGATCTACAGATTCAAGAGGCCCAGTAAATCCCACGCAGTATAACAGAAAAGAAGCCCACACCTTTTATAATCAAATATAAAATCTTAAAATCAGCCAGAGGAAAAAAAAAAGATTCCCTTAGGAAGAGGCCCGGATGGCTTCATGAGGGAGTTCTACCAAACACTCACAGAACAATTATTGCTAACTTTTCTCCAACTCTTCCCAAGAATAGAAATAGAGGACACGTCCGCCACCCACTCATTCTATAAGACTAGCGCACACTTGCTACCAAGCCTGACTAGGACATTAAAAGAAAGAAAAGCTACAGGCTCAACTTTCTCATATATATAGATGCAGAAAGTCCTAACCAAAATATTAGTAAACAGAATTCAACAATATATAAAAAAACAATACACTTCGGCCAAGTTGGGATTACCCCAGGAATGCAAGGTTAACTTAACATGAGAAAAGCAATGTTGTTTGTTACATTCACAAGCTAATAATCGCTGTAATGCAGAAAAGGTGTCTGATAAAATTTGGCATTCATCTCTTAGTAAATTGGGGTAGAAAGGAACTTTCTTAACCTGATAAAGTCTAACTATGGGGAAAAACACCAAAACAATCCAGAACCAACTACATAGTTAGTGGTGAAACATTGAAACTCTTCCATCAGATATTGAAAATTAATGCATATTGCCTGTTCTCACCACCGTTCTAATTATGAAAGACTAATTTTTGAAGCTTTTAGAAAAGAATATAGGAGACTATATTCATGACCCTGTAGAGAAGAAGGATTTCTTAAACAAGATACAAAAATATTAACCATAAGAAAAAAATCTGTTCAATTTACCTACAGCAAAGTTATCTTTACACCTGCCTGCTTCTGCCACTTCTTGTTTCCCCCATTTCCTTCCTGTTCAGAGCTGTGGAAACCCATTATCTGTAGCTCAAGGTCTTACAGAAGATGAAGATGCAATGGAGGATTCAATAGGTGAAGTTGAAGCTCTACCTCTGAATACGTGTTTCTTCATTCCTTTCAAACCCATGAGTAGACAATACTTTTGATCTGAACTACGAAGATTTAAATGTGAACTACAAAGATTTCAACTGAAAGAAATTCTAAGATGCAGTATTCAAAAAGTTAAAAAGTGTTAAAAATAGGAATGCTTTGAATGGAGTATATATACATATATTTATATATATACTCCTTGCTTATCTTGAATTAGCCTTGGATTTCTGGTTGTTGTTGGACTTCATCAACTCCCAGAATCTAGGAGGCAAAAGATACCAAAGAGGCTACTACAGAAAGTGGACCTCGGTACATCAGACCAGAATGAGTTGAGGTGAGTTGGACTTTTCAGGGAATTTTAATCACATAAATAAGGTTTCACCAGGAAGTCTGCCCAAGAAATAGACACTGAAAATATCAGTGGACTCTAATGAGTAGACGGTTCTTCTACACAGAGGCTGAAGACTTTCCTGAATCTGCTCTGATGTTTTTCAGCCTGACGGGGACCCGTGCAGAGAAGCCATATCACCAGTAGGAGGCAACTCCTACTTAGATAAGAACAGATAATCAGAGTCCGCGATGATAAAATGGCTGAAAATGCCCAGCACTTAACTTTCATTAAAGTAACAAATTTAGATTGTTTTAAACCATTAAGGTTTATTTGTGTGCATGTGTATGCCTTACCTGAATTATTACTGTACTACCTAAACTGTGTCTTTAGAAAACTGAATGTAATGCTATCACATATCTTCATCATTCACAAACACCCGAAAGCCAATGAATATTTGCCTGATATAATATTTGCCTGATATATAATTTGCCTGATATAATCCCATGCCTTCCACTGTGTGATAGAAAATAATTAGTCGTTACTTCCTTCTTTGAGTAGATACAAATCCACTTTGATGCCATAGATTAACTGATGTTTTGGTTATGATTCTGATTCTTGTGACATTTACTAAAGGATTTTCACTTCCAGTAATGGTTATTTACGTAATTTACCAAACCTCCAAAGTAAAGAAAGCTAAAATCCTTAGTAAAATACATATAGAACATTTTCTTCTAAGTACTGAAGAGCTAATCTGTGACTGTAGAACATCACAGTCAAAATCTGGGTGAAGGTTAGTACCCACAGGGGTAGATCGGCACTCAAATGTCCAGAGAATATTTTCCAATTACCTAGATACCGCCATGAGGCTGAGCTGAGATAAAAGGGTGGTGACCAAAGTCAACCCCCAGGGCCATCCAGGGCCTGAAGATTTATGTTACAATAGTAAGAGTAAAATGTAAGTAATCCAGCCCTGGTGTCTTAGAGCCTAAGGTAATATCCTGTGAGTGATCCAGGGAACCGTAAGCCTTGAGCTCAGATTAAAGTTGCCCCAGAGTGTGAGGACGTTGCTCTTCTGATAGGTGAAAATGTGAATATTCCCTGGAATAAGTAACAGTATCCTAGACCTCAAAAAAAATTTATATGTAATTTTCCAATAGAATGACCAGCAAAGAAGTAATTCCCATAAAATTCAAATTAATAGTTACTTCTATAGGTTATGGAAGAGGTTGTTACTGGGGAGGAACATATAGGGGTTTATGGAGTATTGGAAATTTATATTTCTTGATCTAAGTGATAACTATATAGATTTTTGCTTAAAATTATTTGTTAAGCCATTCATCTATCTTTCATACACTTTTCTAGTAAGCATATTACATTTCACAATTAAGGGTTTTGGTTTTTTTTAATGAGAAGGCCATAGAAACGAATTACCAAAAACACCCACAAGGATAGTTCAACTGACTACAACTATTATATTGATTTAAGGACATCTGAAAAAAAAACGAAAAGACACTTGACACTTTCTTAATGAGATAAGAGGATGAGAGATGAACCATCTGGGGAAGGTGGGACAAAAGTAGAAATAGGAATGAATGGGCACAATTAACTTCTCCTGAC